CTGAGCTATTGACTATGGTAATAAAAAGGAAAGACAGAAGTCATGTCAGCTTAGCTTCTCACAGGACCTTACAGTGCTCCTTCATTCAAAAACACTTATGTAATCAACAAGCAATGAGTAATGAGTTGCACAATATCAGCAGCCCTTAATTTTCTATCAGGTATGATAAAAACTTTATAAAGCTGTGCTATTATTGAGGAATAAAAGACGTTATAACTACCAGCAACACAACAGTTCTTCGATATTTTGCCACAATACCTCTCCTATTTTTTTACTTTTTTTTCTCTTCTGCTACCTGACATCTAAATGTCTATAATTTTAGACATCAAGACCACATGCCAGAAAAAAAAAAAAAAATCCACAGCAAGAGAGCTGAAAGATATTATTTTTTCCATTTGTAGACAGTAGTTTCACCTGATGTGCAACTTCAACACCTTCTTCATCTTTTTATGGGGAAGGAGGGGGGTGAAATGAGGGAGCACAAAGAGACAGCACAGCTTCCTTAATAAGCCTTAACAATTTTGCTTTTATTAAATTTGTGCAGAGAAACTGAAAACCTTCAGGTAGGGGCAAAAAAGCCCTGACGATGAATCACAGAGGAAAGCAAGAGAGGAAATAAAGCCATGCTTAGAAGAGATTAAACAAGCCATAAAGTTTTTAATAAAAGTGGGATATAGGAAATAGAAGGAGACATAAGTGCTTGATTGAGGTGCAAATGTATGTGTGGGTAGGAGGAAAGTGAAGGGTGAATTTGTCTGGGGAGTAAATCCATTTAGGTCATTATAGTTCAATATGGCCATGATCCAGAAAAAGGCTTGAGCATATGTTTGGTGTTAACATGTGAGTCACTCTCTCATCATCTGAGCTCTGCTGACTTGCTCAGGTTTACCTGATTTCATCAGAATTCTCTCTTGAACTATATCACCCCGCTCTAAAGTCTATAAGCCAACAAACTGAAAGACTGAGTGGCTTTGGATTGGGTACCTTCTTGAAGGACCCATTTCTGCACACAGGAAAGGGCACGCTCTGCTTTCCATTATGGCATGAGCTTAAACATGGAAATATATACAGAGGCTGAAGTAGAGGAATGTCAATGGCAACCAGAGGGGGTGGATCAGAGGACTTTGCAAGCCTTTAGTTGCTGGAAAACTCTGCTAAAATTTTATAAGAGATGGCACGTGATAATCAGATTTAAACTGGGCCAAAATTACTATGCACTTGTGTGGTTCCATCAGTGGTGCCTGTGCTCGCAGGCTGCAGGGTCACAGCAGAGAAGGAGCAGCCCAGGACCACCAGCTGTGCCACAAACATGCCCAAGGACAGGGCAGAGCACAAGTGGGAGTCTCCAGAGTGCTTCTGTGAACAACACCCTTTATGTTGCAGTCATTAAATGCTGATAACAAGAAATGGATTCTTTGATTATTCTTTCCACCTCGAGTTTTGATGGGATTTCTGGCCAGGGCACAGGAATGATTTTAGAAAAAAATCTGATTAAGTCCATGAACCACTAATGTGGGCTCATTACCTTGTGAAAAGACCACAGGTTTAAATCTCACATATTTTCCCCTCATCTTCTCATCCCTAGGAGTCCACTCTTTTTCCTTTCTAAGCTCCAATCTTACATTTTCTAGGGTAGAAAGAAATACCAAAGAAATACTTTGTTCAGAAATGAACAAAGTAGGAAAGATTAGATACACACAATACATGTCAGAGTCACTAGGTACCATATTTATTTTTCTTAACTTTGTTTCCTGAGAAATGGGAATAGAAAAATCACAGCTTTCATTGAACAATAAAGTTAATTTCTAGTTCTCAAGGTTTCACAGAAAGGCTTTAAAACATAAGTCTTGCAATGTCACCACAAATATCATTTTGACTTCTTGAATTTTCTTCACTTTTGAACTGGCTCTCTGAGGATGCAACTATTCACTTATACAAGCAATTTGCAGAATAGAGGAACCTGTTTATCTAATATGTCACTGAGTTCTTTTTCTCCCAGGAAGTTGTGAAAATGCACAAGAGCACACACCTATATGTTAATAAAATCACGAGGTATTTTTTAAATTGCTGTATTTTATTAATAAGCTAATAGCTAAAAGGTTTCTTTGAAAAAATTCAGAAGTCAAAATTAAAAACTGTGTGTCTTTTTCAGCATTTTAATGTTCCATTTATTGGCAGACTCTCAATCAGCAAGATGAGGTGGCTGATAATTATTCAGGGTTGCCAATTAACCTACTTAGCAGGTCACACAGGTAACTGGAATAGATTGTGTCAAATCTCATTATTGGGATAATAATTTAATCAGCCAGTGCATTGACTGAAGGCCGGAGAATCTGGAGAATAAATTAAAAAGGAAAATAAAATCAGTACCCAGGTAGACATTACATTTAAACACATGAAAACAGTTTATCACACAAACTTCTAAAGCACACTACTCACTAGTAGCAACCTAGTAAAGTCTGGGGTGGGGGTTTTCAAGCACAATCACCTTCCCTGGCACATCTGCTTTGTGATCTGTGTGGAACAATCCTGGCCCCTCCTTTCCCATCCATCCCAGCCTTTTTCAGTTCTTTGTGCCTGGCTTTAGAGCAATGACAAAGGAATGTCAAGTAAGAGAGTCACATAATGGATAAAATGATATTGCTGGATCTTTCAAGGGCAGGAGAGAAGAAAAATTACAATAAGTGCAATTTTCAGTTATAAAGTCGGTGAGAAAGCTGTGCTTTCTCTATACAATAATGCTCTGCATTTACAAGGTGATTGAATAAATAGGAGGTAGGAAGTGTAGAGTCTGTCTGGAAGCAGATAAACATTTTCTGGGCAGATGGAGAAAGACCTACTGGAAGGAATAATAACATGTATAAAAAAGGGTTTGATACATACAGGCTACATGTGAGTTTGAAGCAGATACATGATTGTATCTTCTTCAAAGAGATGCACAAACTTGCCTAGTAATTATCAGTTTTAATATTCAAAATATAGACTGAAGAAAAAATACCACTGCTAGTTATTCCTGAATGTGCGAGGTGTAAGGAGCCCCACAGAACAGACAAAAGTACATGCAAGACTCCAGAAAAGATGAAAATATGGTGAACCTGCCCTTGTGTTCATGGTCTGTTTCAATGGTTTACTATCTACAAGAACCAGAAGGCTATAAAAGAAGCCATCACTCCTGTGAGCAGTGGATCATTCAGTTTAAACATATCTCATAGATGTTATAGCCAAGAATTACAGCACTGCTCCAGGACTTGTAATTTATTCACTCAGTGGGGAAAAAAAGTGGCTTCAATCTCAGCTCATGATAGGCCTGTAAAATGAAAAACAACCAGCATGCAAAAACAACCAGTGTGCCAGGAGTGAATGCTGATCTCCTAACTAGATTTGGGTTGTTTTTTTATGTAGCAAGGATCAAACCCACATGCTTAAGTTACTAGGTATGACCTAGACCACTCACTTACGTTGTCAAATATATTATTTTCAATGATAAATCATCTTCCCACTGAAGCAGCGTATATTATAGCCAAAAGGTTGAGCATATCTATCCCAATCCTGGAATTACAGAAGCAGCATGGAGCTCTGAAGTGTCTATTTAGCTAATCAATAACTTCTTAGAACTTTTTTTTTTTTTTTAAAGGCTAAAGCAGGGTAGCACCATCCGTGGATGCTCCCCATTAGTCCAGGAGTGCCAGATAACAGAACCTGCCTGCAGAGGAAAAATCACTTTCATGTAATTAGTAGAAAACTTAACACTGATGAGTTAAACTTTCTCATTAAAACTTTCCCTGATAAAAAAAAAAAAAAAAAAAAAAAAAAAAAAAAAAAAAAAAAAAAAAAAAAAAAAAAAAAAAAAAAAAAAAAAAAAAAAAAAAAAGAAAAAAAAAACCAACAACAAGCCTAAAGATAAGAGCTTTATTTATTTATTTATTTTAACATAAAGCAAGAGCTCAAAAGTACTAGATAAATTCAGTGTAAGGGCCTCTCAGGATACGTCAGCAGTTACAAGAGGCCCACAGCTCTCAGTCTGCTCTTCTGGTTCTTGAGAATATTTCCAGTGTTTTCAGCTCACTGCCATTTTTTATATAATAGGTACTAAAGTTATAAATGACTAATCAAATTACATGGGCTACGATCACACTAAAGAGTGATGGTAGAGGAAGAAACTCAATTAGAATACTGAATATTACACCACCTAGCTATCTAGAAAAATCAGGCTTTATAAATGCTTTGATAAAGCAAAAACATTATTGACTCCATTCCATGATGGTCTGGGGAGCCAGCATTTCAGAGGTTAGCTTAGGACACCAAGGCATGAATCCATAGTGTGAAGGCAGGATATATTCTAAGCAGGGTTTCAAGTCTGGATGGAGATAAGCCCAAGAGCAAGTAACAATATGGATCCACTCCGCTGTAGCTGTGAGGAACTTGCAGAGAGTGAACATACACAAACTGCATCTTCAAAGATAGATTGTTCTGCACGAGAGGTTTCCTGAGTGATCTCTGGGAAAAGGATCAATGAGAAACTAGGTTTCCCTCTCATTTATTACATTTTCCATTAAAAAAAAAAAAAGGTTTTTCTATTATTCTCTCATTTATAATTCACAGTCTGTAATTGTCATGAAAGTAATCCCATTATACTGTAGTCTTAGCACCATTTTACAACTTCTCATTTTAAAAAAGTGTTTTCCAGTTCCACCATTATTACTTCAATTGACAACAGTCACATATGTTTGTTAACTACAAATATCATGAGAAGAATTTCTAGCTGATAATAAAAAACCATATTACAGTGTGATAGCATTTTGGACAGACCCAGACAGGCTAAAATGTTACTCAGCACCTCCTCCCAGTAGTGTGCAGGCTTGAATAGTCCTGTTCAGTGCCAACCTTTCTCATTCCTCTCCTTGCCAGACTAACCCTGACCAAGTGCCCATTTGCCAATAGAGGTGATGTTAATTTGCTGACACCCTTGCAGCAAACTGAACCAGACAGTTTGGGTAGGGAACAGCTCCTTCTCTTTCTGGTGAAAATGCTGAGCGCTCACAGCTACTGCTTTCCACTGAGAAGAAAACAGCAAGCAGGCTTTAATCAGAAGAGGGGGAGACAACGGAAAAGACAGGCTCTGAGCCTCCCCAGGGTTAGAACAACTCCTCCCCAAGGCAGGCACTGCGATGCTTCCCAGAGTCTGCCCCTGCCACCCCCAAAAATAGAGCTAAACCTGCTGCTGTGTGGCTGCTTTGCCCTGTTCCCCTCCCGACCCTGACTTCACTCCCTCCTCACAGAGTGCTCTCTCATGGGGCAGATCAGCTGCAACCTGCTGGGACCCTTATCTAAGCATCTACCCAAATGCCAGGGCTGGGAGAGCAAAGGGTAGACTATTTTTTTTTTTTTTTTTTTTTTTAAATCTCATCACAATTGCCTGTTTCTCCGGACAGTAAAAATGGTTTTAAATCACCGCAAGCTGCGAAGAGCCTGGACTACTCTATCCCACTCCCTAGGCAAGCATTTTATCATCAGGTTGTATTTTTTACAAATAGATATTATATATTATACTCAACACAGAGTACAGTGATCCCTCTTCAAGCCCTGGTGAGAAAAACAGGGATGGAAACTTGGTCTAGGACACAAATTAGTCCCATATAACTTTCCATGCTGAAGGTGTCACTGGCTGCCTGCAACTGTGCTGGGCAATGCTGGCTCAGGAAACGACAAGTTTTTTGGTCTAGGGCTGCAGAACATGGCTGATTTTTGTTTGCCTCTCTGGTTTTCCCACTGCTCACAGAAGAAAGCCTTTATCCCCCAGTAAATGCACAGCTGAACTAATACATTGTCGGGGATTCATTGCAAAAGGACAGTTTGCTTCTCAAGATAATGCTAAAGATTCGCAAGTGTAAAAGCCTGAAACAAAATGTAGAACATTTTAAATATAATGCAGTGAATAACCACGGACTTTCCATAATAATCATCATTCAGTGAATTTATTAATAGAATAAAAGCAATATTGAAGCAAATGCATGACCTCTGACACGAAGAATGGGTTGCATTTCATATTACTTTACTTAACTGCCCCCTCCTTCCCCCACCAAACAGAAGCTTTATTGACAAAATGTGCTCTGGTAATTTAAGTCTGTAGACTTAAAGAATGTGCAGCTCTGGGAAAAACTGAATTATGGGTTCTATTTGTGAGATGAGGAATGGCATGTAATAACTTAATGAACTGGAAGTTTATTAGTTGTAAAAGAGAGAACTAATGGAATGCGTTGTCTATCAATCTTTTTTTTTTTAACTCAAAAATATTCAGGTGGGTAAGCGCCACATCCATTATGCATTTATTATCTTACTAATACCAATATGTGCTAAAATCTCAGCAAGCTACAAAAATCTCTCTGAGCTTCTAATTTAATGGGTATTTTATTAGTCAGTTTTGGAGGCTCTGTTCTAAACCCAGCCCTGTAAAATATCTACTCGGATATCTGGCCAGCAAACAGTTCACTTGAACACAAGAGGTACCTGCTCACATCATCCAAGGGTGCAGCCTCTGCTCCCTGCACAGACTGCATTCATCAAAACTGGGGAGTGAAAGGAATTCACACACAGTCACAATGACAGCTGCGTTTCAATAGCTATTTATTGCTCTATAGACACATAAGTACAAAAGGACAGTGAGATAACAACTTTAACAAGGAACATGTAGAGAAACCAGGCTAATATAAAATGGCAGAATCAAATCCTTAGCTATTAAAGAAGTTTTCTTTATGGCATTATGTCTTAAAAACACAACGTAACAAATATGTTGTTGTATATGTAACAAATAGAATTTAGCCCTAAATAAATACACAGAACATATGTGCAAGAAACAAAAAACGACAGAGAGTTGTAAATTCAAAGTTCAAGTCAATGCACATGAAGGTATATGTAGAACAAAGCAGTCAGGTTCTAATCTATCACCCCCAATATTTCATGTGCTGCGTAGATCCTTGGTTAATTGCAACTTTGACCCTGCAAAGGATCAATCTGCTTGCTTTGATTTGCTTTTCCAGAAATAAAAATAAGCAAGGAAAGAAAATCTGCATTATTTTACCCCTCTAATAGGGTCCTGTGGGTTGGTTTTTTTAGTTTATTGGTTTTTTTTTTCTTTTCAGGTGGCCAGTCTAGCAGCAGGTATCTTACACACATTAGGCTGTTTAGAAGAAAAGTCATAGTCATTCCACTTAATCAGGTAATAGCATACTATTGACATATTAGACCAATTTAATGCATTTTTTTTCCCTTTATCCATTTACATTTCATCTCAGAGGTCCAATACAATGGGATTTTGAACTATTTGTGCTGAGCACAATCAAAGGGCCAGCAATCCAATAATTTGATTTTCTTGCTGAAGAGAACAGAAGGGAGGGAAAGCCATCTTCCCCTTGCTCCTGCAAGTGATCTGCAGGCCTGCTACAGGCTTTAAGCTTCCTGGGTAAAACATACCCCAAGGGCAACAGAAGGCCACTTAAATCCAGCTTGGAGGGCATAAGTGGAACATGGCTGTGGCACGTTGGCTTTCTGCCCAGGAATAAATTCCAATCATTAGCATCAAACACTCATCCTGAAGCTCTCAAACTGAAATTAAATGCCATCTATCAAATGAATAAACAATAATAAATTAGAGCAGCAGAAGTAAATTAAAAAAAAATTTAATTGCAGTAATTTTTACTGTGGATCACATGATCTGGATTGCTGTTCCAGGCTGTACCCCTCAGATTATCTTTCAGCCTATTTTTTCACGACTGGATTTTTGCACACACAAAACACAAATTGAATTTATTCATGGTCTACATTATTTGTTACTAAAAGTATAATTTTAAATAGTGATTGCTTTTCCCATGCAAATAATTTTGTTTACTTCTGCTAGCCATAGGTTGAGTCTAAATGAATTGTATCTAAACAAAAATACAGCCAACAACAATTAAGCATGCAAAAATGTACCTTTGAATGCCTCAGGTGGAACTGCACATTCTGGTTTAGGCTGTCAAGGAAAATTTCAGCAGGCTTCAGAATTTGGAGAGCTGTGAATTTAAAATGAATTAGTCCTTCAAAAGTGCTCGAAGGAAAAGTTAGCTGTATTCTGGGATAGATATTAAAAGGGGAATTTTCAGTTAGCAGAATTTAATTACCTAACAAATTTTGCCACGATGCCCTGGCTAAACCTTCAGTTTTTGTGAAGTAGAAAAAAAAAATCCACAACGCAGATCAGGGAAACTATTATGCTTTATCTGAATCACAGCTATTATAGCAATAAATTCAGCCTTGTGCTGCGATGGGATAGTATTAAAAAGGAGAGCAAAGGGAAATATCTCACTGAATATTAGTCTCATTTCCCAAAACAAGTTGACTCTTCCCAGGAACTTCTCCCCAAAACTTCCTTAGGGTATGAAATAATTGGCTATTAACCAGTGTGTTCTTGACCCAAAGAACGGAGAAGAAAACATGCAAGACTTGTCTGGATTACAAGGAGAAATAAAAGAGAAATTAGAGTAGATAGATCCTGACTGAGCCCGTGGCTCTCTGCATTTTTCTAGTTGGGACTTGGAAGCTTTTACCTGCATTTTTACCAGGGCAAAAGACCCGAAAAAAAGAGCAGGCAGAAAAGGGGCAAGGGAAAAGAGAATGGCACAACCTTTTTTCCTTTTCAGAGTTATTTTCCCCTGCCTGCTTGCCCTGCAATTAGCATGGGGCTGTGAAGAAGAAAGACTGCCACATCCATAGCATCACATTGCCGGTGTAGAGGGCATCTTGTCTCAACCCAAGGAAAAAGAGAAGTTACAGAAAAAGTGTCGTCACGCTAAGGAAAAAAAAAAAAAAAAAGAAAAAGGAAACTCTTACTTATCACAAATTCTGTGAAGAATCTTCTGAACAAGTGATATTTTCCTTTTTTTCCCCTCTTGTAAATGTGATCACCTGTCACCTCCCAAAACCCCAAGGGCTGCCCCAGCACCCCGAGCAGCCACACGAGGAATGGCTGAGGATCCCAGGCAGTTCCCATGCCCTGGAAGGATGAAAACAAGTTGTTAGTATGCACCAGGCGGTGCTGAGGGCTGAGCCTGCTGCTAATGAGTGCCAGGCTGAGGGCTCAGGTCACAGTTTTGCTAAATTCTGTGCACTTGGTACACCTGTGAAACAGCACACTGACAGGCAGCTGGGCTCACACAAGTGCAGAGCAGTGTAACCAGGGTGCTGGGACAGGTCTTAAAGCTGGCTCATAGTGGTTCATAATGGTCCTCAGTAAGTGTCTGTACACTACAGGTGACAAACAGGAGGCAATAAAGGTGGTGGGATGGGCTATGATCTCGCTGGCACCACAGACATGTGATGAACTAGCTTGGTAGGATCAGGAGGGGGGTGTTCAGCTGCCATGGAGGGTTGCTCTGCATAGATCCAGCTCTACAGGGAGGACAGGCCAGGGCACCAAGGAGGGAGAGCTGCCCTTTATGTGAGAGAGCAACTGGGGCCCCTGGAGCTGTCTGTGCCTTGGCACAGGTGACAAGACAGCTGGCAGCATACGGGCCAGGACCAGAGGGCATCCCATGCTGGGTGACATTATGGTGGGTGTCTGCTACAGGCCACCTGATAAGGAGGAAGCAGATGAGGCAGAACACCTGAAACAGTCTCATGCTCAAAGGCCATCAAGGGTCAGAGCACTGAAGGAACACTGAGTGATGCTAATGAAGCAGCAGAACACATGCACCACAATATGCTCCTGGTAGATTCTAGCTTGGCTCCATCTACCCCAAACAGTGGTTTTCATCCTCTGCATAAGCATTCTGTTCCTGGTCAGAGGATGGTGAGTGCCACCTGTACAGCACAGACCTCCTCAGCAGTCCCCATGTTTCCTCCCTGTCTTACACCCCAGTGGAATGTTCTGCAACAGAAAGAAAGGTTCTGTCCTCTCCAGCCTTACCCTGCTGATCACCATTTGATGCCCTGAAAGTGTAACACATGTAAACACGAGGTACTGGCTGCAAATTTTGACAAAACATTTCTTTTCACATGGGCAAAAAGAAGGTTGCTTGCTTAGGAACTGTGTGTATGTGCACCTGCTTTAAATAAGACTTCACTCTATTTCAAAAGCCTTCACCTGCCATATATCCCAAAGGGTCTGAATAGAAAGAAAAGTAACTGGGAAAACTTTAAAGATTTGAGTAAAATGAAAAATTACTGTAACAGGTGTTTCAGCAGTTTACATAATGCCCGAGTTCTCACCTATATTGAGGCCCTTCAGGATAGACATAAGTGGGATTCAGCTGTAAAACAATTTAATTTTCATTAATGGGAAAGAATATTATCCCCAACACTGTGCTCCCCCATTCTTTTATTTGTGTGGCAGGAATTTCTCTGATTTTGTTGCTGTCAGGGTCCCCTATATCACAGAAATATGGCAGGCAGAGCCAGTTTTGCCTCAGTTCTACATGCTCATATAGTGGGACAGAGATCAGACAGCAAACAGAAAGTCCTGTGGCATATTCTAGAAATGTGGGACCATTCCTAGAGAATTTGAGGGAGGAATTTTAATATACTGAGAAGAGTCTATAACTTCAAACACAAATTAGGACCCTTAATGTTCTTCAAATTCTGTGGTAAGCTGTTCAGATTGAGTGAGTGCCTCAGGATCTTGCCTCGCTACATTCTTATGCACACCTCCATAATATCAGTGCTTTGCTTATTCCTCATTTCAGTAACTTTAAATACATGATGAATTCTCTCACGCTGCAAATTTATCTTCATTGAGCTATCTTTTGATCCTGGGCATTAACTCTGATCAGCACTAAGGCAGAGGCAGTCTATCCAATTAGCAGGTGACAGCCTCAGAACCTCAGGACACAGCACCTCTGTTGCACTGCCTTCCAGGAGGTTTGACCTCAGCAAACATTAGATGAACCTGGCCATGGTGCTCATCTGCCTGCCTCAGCTCCTCTGCTCAGACAGCACTTCACCTGTGAGCAAAGTAATATTCTACTTTCAGGAGGTGCCAAAAAAGGATGGCTTTAGGTCCATAACTTGCTAAGCTCTGTTAATACAGCTTTGTTCTGACACTGAGCAATTACATAAAGCATCTTGACTTTCTCTGTATAAAAGCAACTCATCATCAGATGCTCCCTTGTATGGAATCCAAACAACTTGTAACATCAGCAAAACCAAGTATATCTTTCAAAGGTGACGATTTTGTGGTCTCTGTAGGCTGCTTTGATGATGGCATCCAGGAGTCTCTGTCCCACACAGTAGTTACACCTGGGGCAATGACATGTTTTCCCTTATCCAGGCTTCTGAGCCATAGTCAAGGTTTCTGGGCACTGCGCAGACACCAACTGTAGTACTGGGTTTAATGTGAAGTAAGCCTGGACTTTGTTTTGCCAGCAGTTTCAAAGCTGCTGTGGGGAATCCATGAGGCAGCTTCCATTAGACAACACTAGTCAATTGTGAATACCCCCACCTCCCTGCTTTGTACCTCCAGTTAATCTCTTTGTACCTGTTTATGTCAACTGATGCCTGTTTGATCTTACACTGCAAAACCCCAAAGCAAGAATGCCAAGACTTGAGAATGTGCTGTAAACTGGATGAAATCAGTCACTCTCCAGATGTTCCTGGATGCCTGAGGATGTGTGAAATGGGGCTGTGCTGAGGAACTCTTAGATGATAGCAGGTGTGAAATACCTAAGCGTGAATGAAACACAGCTAGAATGGAAAAGTAAAACTCCAAGATCTAGTAATGGCCTCAATAATTTCTGAATCTAAGTCTGATTGACTGTGGGACTGTATTCCTTCAGCAACTCAAGTTGGTCATTAGCACTGAAACCAGTGTGTGGTCATGTAAATAGAGCACCAGAACACCAGGAAAAATGCAGGGACTTGTGTTCTTACAGTAGCTCCTGCTTGCTTACCTTTGCCCAGTTGGGAATCACCACACTGGTCTGCAAAATGAGAGTGCGTGGGTCTTAGTCCTGGCAGAAGACAGGCTCACACTGCCTCTGGGGACAGAGGGGCAGAGCTACAGAAGCATTGGCATCTCTTGTTTTTCATCACCCAATATACAGAAAGGAGAGAACAAGCTGTGGCTGACCTGCTGCCATATGAGCCTCAATCTATTTCAAGAAACAAAGCAAACTGCAGCAGGCACTCGTTCATAAACACTGTGAGATATCTCACCTCAGCATCACCCCAGGACAATTAGTTTCAGCACTGTTTTACATGGACACTGCTTCCAGTTCCAGCATTTGGTTACTTCTGAGAACCCCGGGATCCCCAAACCGCGCTCTAAAAATGGAGTTTACCCCATTTTTCTTTTGCATTTCCACAGCACTCCCTCCTCTGTGCTTCTTCCACTTTGACTACCTTTTTTTTTTTTTCTTTTTTTTTTTTTGGCAACACTATTGATTGGAAGTCTGTCTTGTCAGTCTCTGTCCAGTCCTGCTTTTTTCAGGTATTCTACATTCAGTACAACAGATTTAAAACTACAGCTGAGATCATAAGAACAGAAAAAAAGGATCAAGAAGAAGATCTTCCAATTCATCGAGAACATCACTCTTTCATGACTGAAGTGTGTTGTACAGCAAGAGTAAAGTCACAGCAAACTGCTTTAATCTAACATGGATCAAGGAACACCATTGGAATGAGAAGAGCCATATTATCACTGCTGAAATTACAGTGCCTTTCTTGAACTTGCTCAAACCACCACCTGCCTGGATTATTGCAAAGGGTTAAAACTGAATATACAGTCCTTTCTGAAGGGATGTCTGGGAAAGGGCTGGAGGTGACTGTAACACAAGGAAACCAGGAATGGGGAGGAGGACTAAAAATACAACTTTACTCCTCTGCAAAATCAATTCAACGAAAATTGAGTAAAAGAACAAGATGATGTCTCCCTCCTACAACACACTCCATTCTTCATGTATATTGACACCAAAGAGTAAGCATGATCAACAGCTCTATTTTCAGCCACACAAAGAAGAAAGTTATGAGACTGACTCCAGACAACAGTTTTCTCCTGCCTCAAACCTTGCATGGTCTGCCACAAGGAGACTGTCTCTGCTGGAACTGTAAGGTTTTGAGAGCCCTCTTAGGGCTCACGCTGGCACATGGACAGGTCACGTAACTATTATTACTATACCAATACAAGAAGCATGTTTTCATGCAGCCAAAGACAACCTTCCAGAGAGAGTTGAAAAGGAGAATATTTACCTTTCTGAATCAACAGTAGGGTCAACAGCAGGTGTGGTAATGGGAACCTGAAAAAAAGAATTGGTTGCTGAAACTTACACCCCTCATCAAAGACTTTTTGAATGGTCATGTCCTAAACTATTCCTTTCCTTATTTTCCAAACATAATTTAGCCAACTGACAAAAAAAAAAAAAAAAAAAAAAAAAAAAAAAAAAAAAAAAAAAAAAAAAAAAAAAAAAAAAAAAAAAAAAAAAAAAAAAAAAAAAAAAAAAAAAAAAAAAAAAAAAAAAAAAAAAAAAAAAAAAAAAAAAAAAAAAAAAAAAAAAAAAAAAAAAAACAAAAAACAAAAAACAAAACCACAAAAAACCCACCAACACCAAAAAAAAAAAAACCAAAAAACCACAAAACAAACAAACAAAAAAACACAACTGCATTTAGTACCTGAATAATGTTAGCACTCAGTTAAACAAAAATAAAGATTAGCTCATATTAATATAGAGTAAGTTCTGATGCCTAAATTTTAACACAATGTGCCAGCACTACGCTCTTTTTTGTTTAAAATGAGAATTAGAATCTTTCTAACAAAAAGGTTTTTAATACACTCAAAAGCACATGATATTTTTCCTATAAAGAGAAAAGTGGTCATCACCAACAGAAATGAAAGTAATTAAGAAGATTCTTAAAATTGGGGGGAAAAAAAGATATGGGGAACAAATTCAGTTAATTCTTCTTTTCAGGATCTAATTAACCTCCAAAACCGAGTCTCCAGCCTTTCCCATGTGCTTCAATGCAATGGAGAATGTCCCTTGCTACAAACTGTAGGTCTGATTTAATGGAGCTTTGATTGAGGATAAAGACAGAAGAGTCAGCCTGTGGTACCCTCTCTTCACACTGAAAAGTGTCCAATTCCAAAGGCGAATGCACTCAGCTCAGTCATCCCAATTAAAGTGTCAGCTGCTATTCAGCATAAGCAAAGATAGCACAAAGAATTCAAAAGAATCAGCCATTGCAGCATATTTACAAAGGC